GCAGTGTGGACCACAGAGGAGATTGCATCCTCTGTTGATCGGTTCTCACGGTATGCGTACTGATGAGGGTCCTCGTTGATGTTGATGGTTGTTTTGATGTGAGTCATGACCAGTTTTTCGAAGCATTTAGCGACTATCAGGGTGAGGGCCACTGGCCGATAGTCATTCAGACCAGTCACTGTAGAGCTTTTTGGGACTGGGATGATGGTGGCAGTCTTCAGGCAGGTGGGAACTGTCTCCAGGGTAAGTGAGGTGTTAAAGATGTCTGCCAGCACCTCACAGAGCTGATCAGCACATTCCTTCAACACTTTTCCGGGGGATGTTGTCTGGGCCAGTTGCTTTGTGCGGATTAATCCTCCTGAAGGTACTCCTTACTTCTGCTGAGGTCACGCTGAGCATCTTCATCCGGTGGCGAGGTGAGTCTGGTGCTGGGTGGTCTGTTCGGGTCTTCAAAGCGTGCATAGAACTTGTTGAGGGCATCAGGCAGAGATGGGTCTTTGGGACATTGTTCGCTCCTTCCTTTATAATCTGTTATGCACTTAATGCCCCTCCACATGCTCCGAGGGTCTTGTGAGATGAATTGAGAAGAAAAGACCATTAAACCAGACAGGGCAGCCAGTCTGAGGCCTCGTTTACACGACGTGAAACGGTCGGCCATTCATTTACAGACAACAGCCTCATTCTCTCTGATACCGAAAGTTTCGGGGGGGACCCCCTATGGACGTATGAAAAGCTCCAAGTGTGAAGTGGCACATGCACACCACAGGCGGCTGCAGTCCAAAGTTTTCCTGCACTAACAACAGTTATAATAAATGGCAGAGAGCAGAGTGTTTTTCTGCTGCTCACTCTTTTTCAGCATGTAGGAGCAAAACTAATCAAATCCAGGGTCCAAAGAGACGTTGGTGGGTGTGTTCACCAGTTTGGATGTAACTGTCATGCAGACGCTGCATGAACAATAAATGCAGCTGAGCCTTGCATCGGGGTTGCCAGATAAATTTAAAATGTCTTATTTACCCCCTCCTTTTCTGTGCACGTTCAACAAACAACACACACCTCATCTTAGAATATCTTTACTCAACACATTTGACAGTTTAGGTCAAAATACTATCATTTTAAATCCACAGTACTATAGGTCAATATTTCTTATCTGGCAACCTGACTGACAGAAACTGCAGCGTTTTTCTTGTAAACCAGCTCATTTTTCTTTTACCACCAAAAAACATTGAAAAAAAACACTAAAGTTTTCAGAGGTTGTTCTCGTGTAAACAGGGACTTATAGTAGGTAGATCACTTTGACTGTTGTTTTGAAAGGAGCTCGCATGATGAAAAAGTCTGGGCATCCCTGGTGTATACATTGTCCATAGACGGGGATCAAGGCTGATGAATTTTTTTTTTTTTTCATTACTCGTTACAATTTTCCTCTCAGCCAGTGAGTGGGGTGTTTCACACTAAACTCCTGACAAGTTCTTCTCTGTAGAGCTGAGTGAGGGGCCGACCTCCAACTCTGGCCTTGTGTTTTTTGTTTTTTTTACAGTATTTTGTTGTTACATTTCTTTGAGATATGAAGTCTAAGGACAATTATATAAATTATATTTAAAAATAATTAGCCTACAAGCAAGTGAAGATTTTGACACTGATGCTGTTTTTAATAAATGACTAAAATCAAAACAGAAGCACAAACTACAGGACATGCCATCAAACTGATGTCATCTTGTCTCTCCGTCCTCTAGATGAATGTTGGCGTCGCTCACAGCGAGGTGAACCCCAACACACGGGTGATGAACAGCAGGGGAATATGGCTCACCTATCTTCTACTGACCGTCGCGCTGCACGTCGTCCTGCTCAGCATTCCTTTTCTCTCTGTGCCGCTTGTCTGGACCCTCACCAACGTCATCCACAACCTGGTTAGTTAAACTGATGGTAAAATCTTAACACAAAGTTTAAACGCCACCAACGCCAAGGTAGGAATTTTTAAATCCCAAGAATGTCATCATCTGAAGCAGTCAGTTGTCAGGTTTTAATATGAATCTGAGTTTGTTATATTCTTATAGTCAGGTTCCTAACGTTTCCATTATAGAAATCAGAATCAAAATCCATCCATCCATCATCTTTACCCGCTTCTTCAATTTTTAATCATGGGGGGTCACTGGTGCCATGTCCAGCAATCACTGTGCGAGAGGTTGGGGACACCCTGAACGGGTCGCAAGTCCATCACAGGGACACATAGAGACAAATGAGTCAAACAACTATTCACTCTCTCACTCACACCTAGAGACAATTTAAAGTTACCAATCAGTCTAACATGCATGTTTTTGGTCTGTGGGAGGAAACTGGAGTACCCGGACAGCAGGATATTGTAGACTGGTACATGACATGTATGAGGACAGCAGGACATGTATGAGGACAGCAGGACATGTATGAGGACAGCAGGACATGTATGAGGACAGCAGGACATGTATGAGGACAGCAGGACGTGTATGAGGACAGCAGGACAGTGGTGAGATGTGCTGTAGGAGTGACAGATAGCTTCAAGGTGGAGGTGGGAGTGCATCAAGGATCAGCTCTGAGCCTCTTCTTGTTTGCTCTGGTGATGAACCGACTAACAGATGAGGTCAGGCAGGACTCCATGGATTATGATGTTTGCAGATGACATTGTGATCTGTGGTGAGAACAGGTGGAAGAGAACATGGAGAGGTGGAGGTATGCACTTGACAGAAAAAGAATGAAAGTCAATTGTAGTAAGACAGAGTACATGTGTGAATGAGAGGGAGGAGGTGGAACAGTGAGGCTACAAGGAGCAGAGGTCACAAGTTGCAGGACTTCAAGGACTTGGGGTCCACTGTCCAGGAAAATGGAGAGTGTGGTAAAGAGGTGAAGAAGAGTGTCCAGGCAGGATGGAGTGGATGGAGAAATGTTTCAGGAGTGATTTGTGACAAAAGGGCGGAGGTTGAGAAAAGGTTACAAGACAGTTGTGAGACCAGCTATGTTGTTTGGTCTGGAGACAGAGACATGGACAAAAAGACAGGAGACAGAACTGGAAGTGGCAGAAATGAAGATGTTGAGGTTCTTCTTAGGAGAGACAAGGATGGATAAGATTAGGAATGAGATCATCAGAGGTACAGCACAGGTTGATAGAGATAGAGATGAGCGCCCTGCCAAGGTAAGTAACCTTGAGGAAACACTGAGATCAGTGGATGCAGTTAAAGAAGACATGGAGGTAGTCGGAGTGAGGACAGAGTGAGATGGAGGAGGATGACTTGCCCTGAACAGGGAAAAGCCAAAAGATTTTAACAAATAGCCAATTTAACTTTTTTTTAATGGCACAAAATCATTTTTAAAGGAATCTTCATTATGAGCCATTTCATTTTTTTCTATTTAATATCAAACTTGTTAAAAACAAATTTCATAATTTAATCCTGATTTTAATGCAAGACAATGGTGAGACCAGCTATGTTGTATGGTCTGGAAACAGAGACATGGACAAAAAGACAGGAGACAGAACTGGAAGTGACAGAAATGAAGATGTTGAGGTTCTTCTTAGGAGTGACAAGGCTGGATAAGATTAGGAATGAGATCATCAGAGGTACAGCACAGGTTGAACAACTGGGAGGTAAAGTTAGGGAGGACACACTGAGATGGTTTGGACTTTGGACATGTCCAGTGGAGGGACAGTGGTTTGGACATGTCCAGAGGAGGGACAGTGGTTTGGACATGTCCACAGGAGGGACAGTGGTTTGGACATGTCCACAGGAGGGACAGTGGTTTGGACATGTCCACAGGAGGGACAGTGGT